AATAATAATAATATTATTATATTATTAAAATAATTATAATATAATTATAATATCATATTATATGATAAAATAATAATATTATAGTTATTAATATAATTATGATATTATTTATTATAATATAATATAATATTATATTATATTACGAGTCTGGATTTAAATTGAAAAGATTGTAAATTTTAAATTTTATTAGGGGTATTATGAGTATTATGAAAGTTTTATTAATTGTACTATGTTGATTCCCGCACAATTTAAAAGTTAAAGTTGTCTTTAAACTGTTTCTGATTTTGACTGTAAATTCTTTAAAAAAAATTTAAAAAATATTTTGAGAAGATTTATTAAACATTAAGTCCCGTTCATTTCGCTGATTTGAGTTTAAAATTCAAATTTTGTTATAGTAAAAAGCTCTCATAAACAGTCACATCTAATTTTTTTATTACAGTAAAAAATTTTCATATAAAATTACATTTTAACTCAAATTAAAAATTCAAATTAACAAACTAAATGAGTCCTAAAATTAACTTGAGTTACAAGGAGAAGTTGATTTTAGGAAGGAAAAGTAAGCCCAGACTAATAAGCAATTGACATTTTACATCTCTGACGGTCTCACGTCTAGAAAGTACAAAGAAATAACGAAAGATAAAGTAGAAAAAGTCGCTAATTACTAATTATTTAGTAGAAAGATTTATTTTTAATTAAAATTATGATTTATAATTTATTATAATATTTTTTTTTATAAAAAATTTACGTAAATTAAAAATAATTTAAATCACATTATTTAAATCTTCCGCCCAAACGCGCCGTCAGCCAACAACTTGAAGTTGGATTTTCATCTCAGGCCCTCCCAACCATCGCGACGGCTCTCCGCAAATCCCCTAACGCCACGTCGGAACACCCCACCACCATCCTCTGCATCCGCGTCCTATCATTGGCCACCGCGTTCCGTACGCTTCCCCACTTGCACCCCCCACTCACGATCTCGCACTGGATCACCTCCTCGGGCTCCGACGGGTTGTGCAGAAATACGAAATTGCCCCTCGCCACCGCCGTGATGGACTGCAGGCACGAGCTCACTCCCTTCAACTTCTCCACCATCTCCGTCGGCATCTCCCCGACGACCTCAAATTTCTCGAACGATTCGCCACTGAATTTCCACATTTTTACGGCTTTGACACTCTCGGGGCTCCCTAGAAGTCCCACCGCGATCAGATTCCCGCCGGCGAACTCGATCACCGTGCAGAAAGCTCCCTGCTCGGGAAGGAGATAGTACGGCCCGCGCCAGGTCTTGGAGTTCGTATCAAACGCGTATGTCAGGCCTATGTCTTTCTCAGTCACGAACAGCTCGCCGCCGTACACAGCGGTCGACATTGACGCCGACCAGGCGGAGTCCTTCAGCATCTCCGGCATCGACTCGCACACGGTCCACGCGCGGGTCTTAGGATCGTATACCTCGACGGCGAGCGGATCGTCCTCGTACTCGCACCCCCCGCCGGCGACGACGACGAGGTCGCCGACCTTCGCGACGATCGGGTCTGTCCGCCACACGAGCGGCGCGTCGGCGGTGTGCCATGTCAGCCGGAGGGGGTCGGCGGAGAAGGCGAACTTTGAAGAGGAGAGCATGTAGAAGAGCGTGGAGTGGGAGGATCGGAGGGCGGAGATGTACTCGATCGGCGGTTGGTTGTGGATCTGAATCCAGTGGCCGGAGCGTGTGTCGTACGCGTGGGCTGTCGCGGCGTGGGGAGGCCTGTTGCTCTGAGTGTGGACAATGAGCCATGGCTTAATCGCCTTGAGGTTAAAGAGCGACGACGAAACGGCGGCGTTCCAGGCCCTGGAGACTTGGGACGCGGAAACCAGGTCGATAAGAGGCACGTAGGATAAAACGGCTTCTAAGATATCTCCATAGATTGGAGCTTCTTCACGTTCGCTTTCTTCTTGAATTTTTCTGTGTTGAGACATTACTGAAGAATGAAGAAAGAAATGAGAAAACCAGATGCTTTTTCTTCGAAATTAATTAAAATGGTTGGGGTTGGGGAGTGATTTGAGTAGCTTGGTGGTGTTTATATAAAAAGCCGAGTTGCCAAGCGCTGTGACGGTTGGATGGTGAAGTGGCGCGCCTTGACGAGTGGGCTTTTTTTATTTTATTTTATTTGAAGGTCTTTATCATTACGTTTCTCTTTTTTCTTTTTTTTTATTCATTTTATTCGGTTTTTTATTATTGCTTTTAGATTGGGAGTTTGTCTCTCTCTCCCAATGATAGAGTTTTTTTTAGGTTTTATTTGAATTTTGAATTTTAAATTTTTATAGTTAAATTTTTTTAAAAAATGTCACATTTAATTTTGTTTGCTACACTTAAAAGTTTTTAAAAATTATCATATTTCAATTTAAATTGAAAACTTTAATCTGTGAAGTAAACGAGATTTTAATAACGTTAAATAGGTCTAAATTCTGACAATATGCCGTTGTGCTATTCAAATTTCTTTTTAATTTATAGTATATAAATAATGTTTAACCAATGAAATTATATCACTTCAATTAATGAGCTCATTGTCAAACTACAAAAAATGAGTTAATACTCTTATGAAAATTGGACAAAAAATCTGAAACTCTGATCCTAGAATGCAAATTCATCAAATATGAATATGGAGTTTCTCTAGTATGACTGAAAAAATAGAGACGTTTGGTTCATGGATTAGAACTATTTTTGATTTACGTATATTTTTTGTAAGAGAAAATACTGTAGCGAACCACGAACCATGATTCGAATCAGGGAACGAAATCCCCAACCAAACAACCCATAAATTACTGGTAATTTTTTACTTTTCATCCGTTAAATTTGTATAAAAAATTATCTGTTCTCATATATTTTTTTAAGCTGATGTAATTTTGACCAAATTTAACGATTAAAAACTGACTATATCAATGAATCGGCCTATAAAAAAAGTCCCATATGAATATGTTGACCTAGTGGGTGTTCTAGAAGATAAATAATTATGTTGCAGTGGAGTAAAATAGGTATACTACTATACTATAACAAAATTCAAATGTTGTGGTCTGTGTGAATTATCAGGTGAGACTTATTACTTGTGAGTAATGGATATAGATCCCCACAGTGATGAAAAGGATATTTCAAAATTTATTACCTCGACAGTTTTCTAATTCGAGTTTTTAATTTAATTTATTACAACCCGTTTAGTTCGTTGATTTGAGTTTTTAATTTGAGTTGAGATGTGACTTTATGTGAGAGTTTTTTACTGTAACAAAAAAGTTAGATGTGACTGTTTCTTAGAGCTTTTTACTGTAACAAAACTCAAATTTTAAACTTGAATTAGTGAAATGAACGGAGTCAAAATGTCATATCTTAGCACGAATTGAAAACTCAAATCGGAGAACTGAACGAAAAATATTTTTGCACCTTCACTCCCTAAATCTTTAAATTTTGATAACTTGTCCACAACTTCCCAATTTGGAAAATTCAAACCTTTATAACTTGTTAAACTATTGCAACATATGGGATTAATTTTACCAATTTTATACTGAATTTTGGTCCGATTCGAGGGATTGAGAATTCAAGAATCACTATAGTTTTTTTTTTTTTCAAACTTAAGAGATTTGTGTTAAGGATAGAATTGAGATTTTAAAATTTTAGGTCATACGTGATTTTTTGTCAATTATTTAACTCAACAGTTAGCAACATGGGGTCGTATTGCTATAATTTAGCAAGTTAGGTAGGGTAAATTGTCAAAATTAGAAACTTTCGGTGATACGACAACTCGCTAAAACTTGAAAACTTTAAGGGTTAATATGCCAAATACTAAATTTTATAATTTAAGTCCTTAAATTTATCTTTCTATTTTGGTTTTTTAGTTTGCTCTTGCAAATTTGGAAATTACTATCCATTCTCCCCAGACATTAACTACTTAACAATATCACCCCTTTCATCACTTAAATAAATAGAAAAGCTAATTTTGAAAGGAAAATTTTTTAAATCCCTTCCTAAGCTTTAAAAAATTTTAAAATTTGCCCTGATAATAAAGTGGGGCAAGTGCATTGTAGAAAGAGAGAACCGTCGCGACCCAACCTTATTTTTTTGTTTTTTAGGAGTAATGCTTGTTAATTTAGTATTAAGAGTTGTTTTTGTCATTTGTTTTTAGAAATTAGCGTTTCTAGCTTAAATTAGGTTTTAACATTTCAACATTAGTATTGCATTGCCTTTTCGTTCATTAATTTACGAAAGGCACAAATTTGTTAATGTTTAAAGTTCACAACGAGTAGATGATAGTTACCAAATAAATGGGGGTAAAGTGAAAAGCCGTCATATATTTGAGGGGATTGATAAAATTTGTCCTTTCAAATTTAGCATATTCTCAATTTTTTCATCCATTAATTTAGGTGATGAATACGGCAAATTTACAAGCTTTTTGAAGTTTCAAGGGAGCGAATGACAGTTCAAAAACTTGTGAAGCTAAAGTGAAAAAATGATATAAATTCAGGAAAACTAATAAATTATTAGAGAATTTATTTAGGATTAGAAAATAAAGATTGGTATTTGGTAACTGCTCTACTTGACACTCTCTTTTTCTCTCTCTCTCTTTTTTTTTTTTTTTTTTTTTTTTTTTTTTTTTTTTCGTTTCTATTCTCTCTCTTTTTTTTTTTTTTTTTTTTTTCCCTCCCTTTTTTTTTTTTTTTTTTTTTTTTTTTTTAAATTTTGTTTGTTTGTTTGGTGAAGTGCTATACTTGACTCTTAGAAGTACCAAAGAAGACCATTCAAGATGGATCATGCTGATCTCTAAGAGCAAAATTGATCAATTCAAATTCGAACGACAATTCTTTCCAACAATGACGTTTGCACAAACGACTACGTGAAACAGCTTCAGTCAAACAATACGACTACTAGGCATGAGAAAAGGAGTGTGTGCGCATTTGATTGGTAAATTCGTGTCATGGTTTGAATTATAATTTGTGATTTGTTATAGTATTTTTTTTTATAAAAAATACACATAAATTAAAAATAATTCTAAATTAATGAACTAAACGTAAGTTTGTTTCTTAATCAAAATAGTATTTTTGCACCGAAGAAAAAAGTCATATATAGTGACGTTTGTTTTTTTCTTCCTAGAATGGTCTTGTTGGCTAAGCTGTTATTTTTTGTTATTATCTTTTTTTTTTTTTAAACAATCAAGTGGGTCATCTTCCTCTAATAATATTGTGTAACCTATATATTGTTCGTACAAGATAAAAAAGCGTTATATCAATCAAAAATATAAAAAATCACGTACAATAAAAACGTAACATAGGAAACACAAGAGATGAATCGATGTGTTTTATATCTATAACTGTACTTGAACTACAAAGTTTGAAAAAAAAAAAAACAGCTGTAGTTAATTCCCAGAATATATATATATATATATATATAAATGTATATGCAGGTATATTATATGGAGAATATATAAGAATGTTGTTATCCGAGATCTAACTAACTTCTGGATAGTAATGTTGCATTTACAACTTGGAATTCATGTTTATTATCATAAATATTATCACAATGTAGCCCTGAAAATATCTGTTTGTCGTTATTCTAATATTTATTTACAACAACCCAAAATTTGTTATGTGCAACAAATAGGTTTTAAGAGCCCGTTTAGTTCATAGATTAGAACTATTTTTAATTTATATGTATTTTTTATTAAAAAAAATATTATAATAAATCATGAATCATGATTCGAATTAGAGAATGAATCTTTAAACTAAACATAAGTTTTGTCTTCTCGTTTTTACCAAGTACCAACATATGGTGGTTGATTAGCTTAAAGACAAAAAAAAAAAAAAAAAAAAAAAAAAAAAAAAAAAAAGGAGTAATAAGTGATTAGGTGAACTGTCTGGCTCATTACTACAACCTCTGAATGGTCTCATGTTTTGGTTGAAATAGTGGATAAACTGCCAAAAGCACTCACGACTGAGATTAATATTATATTCTCTCTTTTTTCTTTTTTTGTTCTGTTTCTAGAAATAATTTTATTTGTTTTTTTAAGAAAGAAATAGCATATTATTCGTCAGGACATGGTAAGTGACAATGTGACATCTTTTACCGCACTTCCAGACCGAGTGAATTAGAAAGAAATAGATTGTCTCTGTAACAAATTTATATTTCATTTAACTCAATTTACACACAAATTCAACAGGTATGTACCCATAATCAGAGAAATTTATGTGTCGGTTTGTATAGCATTTCTGATAAATGAATTCTTTTTTAAAAAAATCAACTATACAATAACCTCACCCTTTTTTTTCACTGGAAGTCTAAATTACCCTACTTAATCACCAAAAAAAAAAAAAAATCCTACTTAAACTAGAGAAATTCTGCCGAGACGTTTCTTTTCCCACCAATAGGAAACACATTGCAACTGTTACTGCATCACATTACAAGAGCGCATCCAACTACCCGACCGTATTTTTTATTCTGTAAACGTTTAATTTATGAATTTAAAATTATTTTTAAATTATGTGTATTTTTTATAAAAAAAAATATTATAATAAAATATGAATTATAATTTAAATTATAATATGAATTTATTAACTAAACGCATAATTAAAATTGCAAGTTTAATCACCCGACAGCCTGAACGACAAAATTGAGTCAGGCTGTCGGGATAGGTTAGCTTGAGCAAAGAAAGAGATAGTCCAGCCTAATCCATTGCTATTTAATGTATTTTTTAAAGGGAGAAGAATGGAAATAGTAGAGTTGGTTGAGGGAATAAAATTTATAGCATAGTTTTTGGGACAAGAAATTAATACATTTTTTAAATCTAAAATGTCTAAAATTCCCAAAATAACCCCATCCCCTTGTTTTGTTACCATCAATCTCAGACCTCTCTCACGACTTGCTCTTTCCCGACGCCCAGCAACCCAGCCAGAAGGTGCGAGGAGCTCTCTCTCTCTACTTCGTTCCATTGTTCATCGCCGGATCTGACGAATCTGAGTGCATCGGCTTCAACTTCGTGACGATTTCTCTCTCCTATCTCCCTCTCGCGTATCCCTTTGTTTCTCTCCTTTCTCCCTTTATGTTTCTCCATGGATCTAAGGTTATGAGATTGTTGGCTTCAATATCGCGATGGAACAACGTGACAACGGACTCCGTGGAGCAACGCGACATCGGACGCCACGGAGCAACACGACAACGGCCGCCATAGTCACTGGAGAAGATGGACTTGATGTAGCTTGCGATCTCGCCATTCACGACAACAAGGGCATTTCGACCATTCTGAAATTTTGTTGCAAGAAATATGCTATTTTCTTCAAAAATTATTAAACCAGCCGTTTAGGTTGGTTCTTTTTTATTTCGAGTTTAAAATTTAAATTTGAGTTTAATTATAAAAAAACCTCTAAAAAATAATCACATTTAATTTTTTTATTACAATAAAAAAATTTTACATGACATCACATTTTAACTCAAATTTAAATATATTATTTTCTTATAAATTTTTTAAAAAAAAAAAAAAAAAAAAAAGTACAGATGTTTGGGTTTGGAACCTCAACCCAGCTCGGCCCAACCAGACTTTTTTGAATGTCCAGCTCGAGACAGAGAATGCGGGCTGCGTGTCGTTTATTTGACCCAATCTAAACTTAGAATTATACTTTTGACCTTTATCTTTTTCATTTTTCTTCTCGCTCCATGTTTCTTTCTTTCTTTTTTTTTTAATTAAAGAATTCATGTTTCTCTTTTTATATACAACAAATAATTTTCTCTCATTTTTTAGTAATCTTAACAAATATTCTTTAAAAGTGTAAGAATTAAAATTTTTATCTTTTTTTTTATTCATAACATTTTTAATTAAATAATTATACTAATAAAAATATATTTATCAAAAATAAAAAATAAAAATTTAGACTTGAGTAAATTCTCCATTTTTTTTTTTTCTTGCTTTCTTTCTCCATCTAATACAACTGTAAAAATGAGCTGTTAGCCCTGCCCATGCGGGCCGTGAAATAAAAACGGACCAAGCTGCACAAGAGAAAATAGGCCTACACCTACCCATATGTTTAAGGGGCAATTGACAAATATCATTTGAAAGTGAATTGTTAAAATTTTTATATTTTATTTTTGATTTATAATCTTTTTATTTAAATAATTACACTAAAAAAAGTATTTATTAAGAATAAAGAGTAAAGATTTAGATTTATATACTCTTAAGGGTAAATTCTCTATTTTTTCATATTTTTTTTTAATAATATGGTTGTAAACATAGAATGGTAAATCCATAATTGTGTTGCTAATGTTTGATAATGTTAATGTTACCCTTATATATAACCTAACAATAAATACCCACAACGTGTTCAATATTTAAGATCTAAAGTTCAAATTACTCACTCATCCCAACACAAAAATAAATAAAATAAAATAATTAAAAGGCAAAAATACAAACCGAAAAATTAACAAAAGATAAAAAAATCTCTCATAAAAAAAAAACAAAAGATAAAAAATCTAGATTTAGCAGAACTTTCAAAGCAGAACATGCAGAGGCAGTTTGCAGATCAGGGGCTCCGTGCTCTCCTAGCATTTTTTTCGGATATTTTTGTTGATTTGGAATTAGTTTATATTTTTTGAGGAAGTTGTAAAATCTTCGAGTTTCTAGGGAGGGAAGGATTGATCTGGGTTTTGGCATTCTTTTAAAAACTACAAGAACATTGCTGAGTTTACCTTTAAAAATATATGGCTCTAATTTTTATTTTTTACTCTTTATTTGTACCCTTTTATTAATATAATTATTTAATTAAAAAGATATTAATTAAGAATAAAAGATAAAAATCATCACTCATACACTTTTAAAAATACTTATCAAAATTTCTCTTTAATTATTATTTTTTAGATATTATTTAAACATTTTCAAGACCATAATTCTTATCTTTATTATATTTTACGTTAAAATACAAGATAATATGGCCATTAAATCATCAGGCCTCCAGAGGTTAAGCCACCCAAAATTACTAAAAAGCAACACGTGAAATGAAAGGTTGACATCACTCAACACCACCAGAAAATAAAGATAGAACGCGGAAAAAATGAAACTAACAACCAGGCACCAGCCAAATCGACTACAATAAATTATTGGCAATAATTGAATATCTCCCCAGTCCCCACCTTCGACCTTTCCTTGGCCCAAATAGCATTTACTAACCCAACATTACGAACATCAAGAGACCAAAATGAATGCCCCACTTAAAACGTTTTATTATCGTGATAGAGAGCGTTCATCAAGAAGATACATCGCATCCTGGGCCCCATTTAACGGTGGTCCATGAAGACGTAAAGCAGCATTTTGAATTTTCCTAAGTTTTAAACACAATTAAAATGGTACAAAATTTTAATAGAGTAACTCGTCCCAAAGAAGAGGAAGAAAAAGTTACAAATAAAAAAAAGAAAGTAGAACATCAAGATAGATTTCTCTGAATTGGTTACTTATGCAGCGGCAGTGATGCACTGAATTGCCTCTTTGCAGATACCAGTCATCGTTGCTTCAGGTCCATAAACCTATAAGACAACAATAGAAAGAAAAACTAAATTAGTCCAGTCCTTGTGAATGTTCATAAAAGATTACGAGGATTAAGCATTGAGATTGGGTCAAAATATTGGTGTACCTCAATAGGAATGCCTATTTCGTCTCCAAGTGCCCGCATCTTTGCAAGACCCTTCTGGTAGTTAGGACCTCCTCTTCTCACGTAAATGTGCATCCTTGCCGCTTTAAGTTTTGATTCCTGAGTTAATGACAGCACTACAGTCAGTTTTCACACATCAAAGGACAGACACAAACTGAAATTTGTTCTTGAAACTAACAAGGCTCACCTTCTCTTTGAGAGCTCGGATAATGCCGTTAAATGTGGCAGCTACATCAGTAAAGTTAGCAATTCCTCCTCCAATTACAAGGGCTCTCTTCTGGCCATTAGGGTTAGCAGTTGCGCACTGTAAGGAAACAATTACATTATTGGTGAAGCCGAAGTAGAAAAATTCATCAAGACATTTGTGTTTATGACATGACTTTATTTTTAAGAAAAACTGGGAGACCATACATGAAGTTTGTGTCTAGTATATAACATGATTGAGTAAGTTCAAAGAAAAAAAGAGGATGAACCCTTACATCAATTACAACCCTGGCATACTGCAAGACCTCCTCTTCGTTTGGTGCTCCACTGTATTCAGCATAGTTTCCAAGTTCAGAAGCATAGCCGAGATCTCCAACCTAAGCAAATCATGACCATTAGTCATGACATTAATAATTGTTCCTAATCCATTTAAAATTCTTAGGACCAGAATCCTACCGTGTCTGCATAGATGACACTCGCACCTCCTCCAGCTACCATAGTCCAAATTCTCCCCTTTGGGTTAAGAACTGTGAATTTCAATGATGCGCTGGTCTGAAATTCAGAAATAAATTACAGTAATTACTTTCTTTGCTGACAGGATTGTTAAGATTTTTTTATGATCGTTGCTCATTAGAAACATAATTAGACCGTTTTCGTGCTTACCTTTTCATCTAATCCATGGATATAGCTTTCGGTTGGGCTCATGACTCTTCCAAATGGCATTGGAAATTCAATGTTGCCCCACCTGCAACAACAAAAAGTATGTCAAACAAACTGAAGGGAAAGCTGAGAATTAGAAGCAGTAACTCCAACAAATTGTTTGGCTTAAATAAACCAATAGAGAATAGAAATATGACGCACTTCTTGAAATTCTTGAAAGCAGCTGTGTCATCCAGCTCGCCTCTCATATCCAAAGGATATGGCTTTCCATCAACAAATGTGAAAGGATTCATCTCTAGGAAAGTGAAGTCCAGATCTGGCAATGAGAAAAAAAGAAGTTAACTCAAATCAAAACTAGCTGATGAATTTATCTTCACTAGTCTAACATATCGAGTTCTTCGCCAATGGCATATTTATTCTGGAGGATTGTCAAAGAAGTTTGCAAACCTAGAAACAGCGCAAACACAACTTTAAGGAACTCCTCAATTTCTCCTTTGATCTGGATTGAAGAACAAACATTTTGTCAACAATTTCCAACTCAAGTGATAGAACTAAATATAAGACTTCACGAGATATGAGACCACATAAGAGAATGAAATGTCTTTTACAATGCTCATATGACCTCATACAATTAATTATTGCAAAACCATAATTGCGTATGAAGAAAAGAAATTACCTCCAGGGGAAGGGTTGCAACAAGAGGAGCACAAACTTCTGATGTAAAAGAGACTCCAGTTGGAACAAAAATAGTTTTGACCTGCATAAATCCAAGCAAGATGACATAAGAGAGCCTCAAGAAAATACGTATCACAATAAAGAAAGGTTTTTGAATGAAACTAAGGTAATCATATTCAAATTACCTTATCCCAGTTCTCCTCAATTTCAATTCCTCCACACTCGGAAAAGCTTATGCTGTTCCCAAGTCGCTCTGAGACAATGTTAAGGTAAAACTCTTCATTGTGAGGGATGAAGGGTTCAACAATGAATGTTGTGATAGGTCCTTTGCATCCACCCATCTCAACCTTTGAACCAAAAGAGAATCAAAAAGTAAGCTATGAATTTTAACCGCTGAAAGAAATTCAAGAAGTGAAACACGAACAAAAAGAGAGTGAAAACATAAAATACCTCTTTGCCAAGTCGATCCTTGACAAAAGTGGCAACTTGAGCGTAGTCTAGATTCAAAGCAACCAAACAGCTCTTCCCACGCTTTCCAAACAACATGTCCGGTTTCACAACCAGTTTGGAAGAGAAAAGCCATGGCTCATTGTTTGCTAACTCATTGAGATCAGCTGATTCCGTAATCTACGTCATAACACAAGAAAAGATCACCATTTAATCAGCAAAGCTAGACTCTAACACCAATCCGCAAAATTCTTCTTTAAAAGGGGAAAAAGAAAAACTCAAAGGGTGCATTTAGAATTAGTTTTAAAATGATTTTATTTTCAATAAAAAATATAAAATAAAAATGAGATTGTTTTGAGAATTATTCTAAGACCAATTTTAAAATTACGTTTGGTTAGTTTTTTAAAAGATTATTTTGAGTATAATAAAAAAATAAAATCATATTTACTAATTAATATATTATAATATTATTGATAAGTACTAAAAAATAAAAAGAGAAAAATGAAAATAACTTTCAATTATTATCTAATTACTTCACAAAAACCATTCTTACTATTTTTATTTTTATTTTTGTTTTCAAAATATTTGTTAAACAAAAATTGTTTCGTTTTTATTCTCATTTTTTGCTTCTCAAAATACGTAAAAACCGTTTTAAAAAACGGCTCCAAGCACGCACCAAAAGTCGCATTCTGATTCCAAAATATACCAGAGAAAATTGAGTTCACAACGAAGGATCACACAAACAGAAACAGATTAATTAAATCCTGATCACTGAAGTGCAGATCAGGTCGCCATGAAAGTCATCATAATCAAAATGCATTGAAAAAAAAAAAAAAAACCCTAAAACAGGCTTAACATTCGGGTCTATAAGTTAAACATTAACAAAATCTTGCAAAAAAAAAAAATGAAAAATTGAAAACTAACCTGAGCGGATTTGATCGGCAATTCGCGGCCAGAGAGCCTCTTGAAATGCTCCTTCAACAATCTCTTCGAATCGTACTCTCTGATCTTCTTGCGTGCCATTTCACCACCTGAAAATTTTTCACCAAACCAGAAAATTCACGTTTCAGATCCAAACCAAACCGGTCATATCGATCTCATTTCGAGAACAAATTCGAACGTAAACTAACCAAACTCGATCCACAAAAACAGGAAAACGAAAACGAAACGACGATCTGAAACAACAAAAATCGTAGCTCGAGAAATGCAAATCACCGTTTAGAGAGAGAATCCGAAGAGCTTTGAGTTAGGAAGATGCAAGAAAACAAACAAACAAAAAAGGCCTCGTCTTAAACCGCTCAACCTCTTGTCCGTCCACTCCCTCAAATTTATAGTTGAGAGAAAATACGATTTTTTTTTGTTTTTAAATTATTTCCAAAGAAGAGTTTGTTGAGAAATCATATTCTGACTGGGCACACGTGGCACCTACCTACCTGGTTAGACCGACGCTTCAACTATACGGTCAGTACAAATACGCCCTCTTTTTTTGGTGCAATGATTCGGTGCTTCTCGTGTTATGTACGTTTGGTGTGTCCCCGCCCGCATCACCCTCCGCTTGTTGTACTTTCTTTGTTTTCGGGTGATTGATTTTGAGGTCAAAGCTTCAAGGGTGGTCCAAAAAGGGTAGTTGAGACGCATGCAATGTTGGTAAACATAAAATTAGGTATTGGCCTCATTTTGGATGGGAGAGTAAACAATTGTTTTTTGTTCTCTCTCTGTGTTATATCGTCAAAATGAGAATGCCGCCACATTGGTGAATATATATTATTCTTTTTTTTTTTTCTTTTTTTCTTTTGAATACCAATGGTTAAGATTTAGGATTTATTTTAGATTTTAGATAACAAATACCAAAGATTTGAATCTTTAATATATTTTTTCCATGACGTTTCTATTTTTTTTTTATATCATAGTCATCTTAATCTTAATCGACAAATTATTGGTTTCTAAAAATGTCTTATACACTTGAAAATGTTATATTTAGTTTATCTGATGTTTTGTCGATTATATATTGTCATTAGACACATTACGACTCGTTGGTATATGATATATTTATGGACAATATGTGTAGTAGGCCATGCATGATTAAATTGAAAATCTGTTGCATCAGAAATAAGGAACACATGAAAAATAACGAAAATAATGCAACTTTATTAATATTTAATGATGTCATCAACATAAGAGGCTGCTCTCAAATTATAGTTGACGGGTCAAGGAAATTTCTGCTCTTTGTTTTATTTCTTTTTTACTATGATCAAGTCAATTACATATTAAAACACCAGCACATTTGTCATATGTTGATACGTAATTTACCGATAGCATTGAGGCATCAGAGCACCCGAACACCGGAACACTCCGAGCAATCGGAGCCCCGGAATACCAAATTAGGCCAACCCAAGGAAGAAACTCAGGCATCATCACTACATCACTAGGAATTTCAATGGTTGTTGGTTCAAGACAATTAAGCATTCGGAGGTAATGTGTGTTGACACCAACAAATGAAAGGTTTCATTGTATTAAAAAAGAGATTAAACCTTCATATTTATGAGAAAATTAAACTCTTTAAACCAATTGTACTATATATTCTTTCAATTTGAAAGCAACACATTCTTTTTTAATATAATAGCGTTGATTTTTTTTTGGGTGAATATAATAGCATAATTGAGATTTTGTAACTTTGATCTTGTTGTTTACTTGTTTATTTTTTGAGGTTATTTGTGTTTTTTGAGTACTCTATTTTTTTTTAATTAGACCTTTAGCTTAAGTTGAATATTAGGCTAAAAATGTTTGTTAGGTGTTGAACGAAATTTTGCCTCAACACCCGGAAAGAAAAAAACATTTTAAGCCTAAATGACCAATAATAATATGAAAATGGCTATTTATTAATTTTTGTTAACTTTCTTTACGTGGGTTCTTAGAGGCCTAATTTTTGTTGTGATTAGCATTTGCAGCAATATATACCAACCATAGTCAAATTAAAGGAGTTGACACACTCCATATATATATATGTGTGTGTGTGTGTGTGTTTAAAAGAATATTTTCATAGCCACATTTAGTCGACACTATACAGATGCTGTACTTCATTGAGTTAGCTCTTTTATACATATTATATATATATATTAATTTTCTTTCTTCTTTAATTTTGGTTCATTGGTTAGATCATGCATGAACATAAATACATCTATTTATTTAACTCGTTGATTTTCCTTCCAAAATGGGGAATCAACAAATTAAAAAAAGAAGAAGAAGTCACAAAATTGGATTTGGCCGTGCTCGTGAACCAGCACGAAGATCAGCATTCAAGACAATGATTTTTTTTTTCTCTTTATAACTTTAAAATATATTTTATTGGTTTGTAAACAATATGAAAATAGTTACATTTGCGGAAAACGTGGAAACGTTGAAAAAAAACACCGGTGGTCCTTTTTTTTTTCTTTTTTTTTTTTTCGTTTTTCCTCTTTGGGAGAGAATCAAATATAGTTGTCTTTTTGGTGCGTGCATTCATTTGAATAATAATGAGGCGATCACACGGATTCACGTGGGCAGACACCGCTGAATATTGACTTTGTACATGTCGTTTACGTTTGTAGTACATTAAATAAAAATAAAAATTCATAACTTCTTTGGTGTCGTATGAATTTTTATTTTTATTTTTTTTATTGACGCCCATCCTATTTGGACTTCCTCTTATACTTAACTCAATTTCACGGAATACAAATATGAAACTAAAAAAAAAATGAAGATATTTTAAGCTAAAGAATACTGTTGCGAAGATAGCAAGTGGTAGAAGTTTTTTTGTTTTTTTTTGTTTTTTTGTTTCCTGAAAAGTGGATGCTTGGAATTTGATTCAAGACAAGATAAATCAGCTACAAAACAACCGATAAATTTAGGACAATTGTCAATTCACAAAACATTAGATGAGCTAGAAAAAATAAAAGCAGCTAATATGTGGGCTACAAAATTTCCTTGACGGAAATGGTAAAAGTTTTAACGAAGTAAATCAATAAAAAAAATTGGTGCACTCACTTTTAAAGTATTTTTCTTAAATTTTTATTTTTTACTCTTAATTATTAATTTTTTAACTAATATAATTCTTTCACTAAAGGTATTAACATAAGTAAAGAATAAAAATCTAAAACCTATGTATTCTAAAGGACAATTGTCTCCTTTTCTCAGGTATCAACAATCAAGAATTACCTTTACTCTGGAAAAAAAAAAGGAAATTACCTTCTTTAGGAAAAAAAAAAAAAAAAAAAAAAACTATAATGCATTACCTTTAGATTGTGTACATAGAAGGCAAACTTTGGAATATTAACGACCATTACAGTAAAAGCTTGCAAAATTGTTAATAATCCTTTTTTAAAAATTCAATTCTTTAGAGAATTTGGAATGCAGACAATTAATTACGCTGCTATACGACGCGCCTTCTTGGAGAAAATCCAATGTTATTGATTCTTTGCTGCTCGGATAAGAAAACTTTTATTATTTTACTTCATCCCTATTAGTTTTTCCACTAGATAGAGTTTGACGTATAAAATTGTGTGGGACTCGATCTGACTGACACAAAAACAATATCTGTGCATACAAAACAATTTAATGAATCCTGTTAAAATTGTGGATGCCATACTTGGAATGTAAAACTGTAATTGGTTAAAAATGTGTAGGTGATATATAGGGTCTGTTTAATTTATTGATTCGAGTTGAGATGTGAATTTATATAAGAATTTTTTACTATAATAAAAAAATTAAATGTGACTGTTTATAAAATTTTTTTACTGTAACAAAACTCAAATTGGTGAAATGAATATGAGCATGATATTGCTGTTAGATAAAAGGCGGTGGTGTCGTTCATTGTGTAAGGGTATGCAAGTGAGGCAATCTCAGCAGGTTGGGGACAGCTCGATCATCTTCTAGATTGGTCTCTCAAATAACTTCTTTTCCTTCTTATATGGATTTGCTTTAGATCCTAACTGGATCCCAACTTTTATTGATGCAAGTACTCACTGCACCTAAGCAGCTTTTCATCCGAAGAACTCAAGTTATTTTTCGTGTTTGTGTACTTTTCACAACTCAAATCACAATTTAAATTTTTTTATATGAGATAAAATTCTAATAAAAAAATTAAATTTAAAATTTTATAAAAGAAAACATTGTAACACAGAAATTTGAGTTGTGAAAAGAACAATATATAAAAAAAGATGTCTATATTCGAGTCACCACTCGTAAAAATTAACACTACTCGTAACGAAATAGGAGCGTGCATTACTATGTCCACTGTGCGGAATTGGGACATTGAATATAACTCTTTATTGCTTTTTGTTTAGGAGAGGTACTCGTATGATGACCCCCTTTATATCATCAAATTATCAATAATGAGAATTTTTTAGTTGAGTATGAAAAAAATAATACCGATAAGGTTCTGTTTTGAACTATTAAAGGGTCGTTTATTTCATGTGTTTAAATTCATAATTTTAATTATGTTATAGTGTTTTTTTCTCATAAAAAATTTAAATTTTAAATGTTCACTGATTTGAACGCATGAACTAAAGTTTAGAATTCGAGTTTTGCTACAGTAAAAAATGTTCAGAAACAGTCACATCTAACTTTTTTACTACAGTAAAAAGCTCTCACATAAAGTCACATCTCAATTCAAATTAAAAACTCAAATCAGCGAACTGAACGAGCCCTTAATATGCCCTAAATTTGTATAGAATTTTCTTAATTTTACGTGCTTTTCAATTTAATATTTACTCAAATAAGATACCGAACCATAGAAAGCTCCATTATTAGAAGCGTTACTTTATGGCAAAGAAATCTATGTTGTTCCCCCACCCACCTCCCCCTCAAGCTAAAGGAGTACTTTTATATATCTTTATTACGTCATGTGAAATTTTTCTACCAACCTCCTCTTCGCCAATCTTTAGGAGATGACCTTAGGTTACGAAAAAACATGCTCGGACCAAAAGAGCATTATTGTGAAACAAAAGTTCATCAGCTTCTTCTTTTTACCTTTTTCCGTTCTAGGGAGCAAAAAAAAGTTCTATCTTTCTTTGAAAGTAAAGGGGGGAGAAAAAAAAAAAAAAAAACTCAGGAGAAAAAGAAAAGAAAAACAGAGTGAACGCCTTTGATATTTTCCCACCTGGATGGTGGGGACTGCAGATTCAATCTCGATATCATGGATAGAGATTTTTTTCCCCCTCTTCTTGGTTGTACTCTCTCTCTCTCTCTCTCTCTCTCTCTCTCTTAAAGTTTTTCATTTTGTATTTCTTCTTTATTTGTTGGTTTTGATGGTTGCTAACTTGCTGCCGAGTTCTTCATGGCAATGTTGTTTTTGTTTTGGCTCTCTCTCTCTCTAAAGTTCTTTTTACCATCGTTCTGATTGATTTATTTGTTGTCCGTTAGCTTGATGTTGTTTTTAAAATGTGTCGTTTTCTTAGGTTGTTGTCGGTTTTGTTGACATTGTCGTTTTTCGACTCATCGTTTTTATAAGTACTTTGTTGTTGTTTTCTTATGTTGTCTACCATTTTCAAGTTCTTTTGTCGTTTAAATGTGTAGGTGTCGTGGTTTCTAGTTTTAGGGTCGTTAATTGATTTAGTTGTCGTTTCATTTTGTTATCGTCTTTGGTTATTGTCGTTTCTTGTTAGGGTATAGTTTTCAATTTAAATTTATTTTCACTCTCTAAAATCAGTCGTCACTTAAGTATATATGTCGTTCTTAAAAGTTTTTTTCTCTTTCATTTTTTTGATGCTTTCGATGGTAGTAATGCTTATATCCGTGCTGTCGTTTTTCAAGTTTCTGTCATTCTTTTTGCTTACCGTAGTCATTGGTTTTGTCGTTTATTTTATGATTTCTTTCGTCTCCTAGCTCGTTTTAGTTGTCGTTTTCAATCTTTGGATCTTACATTTTTTGTTTTTTGATCTCAAATCAACATTTTTTTTTTGCAAACATTTTCCCATAAAAAGGCCTCTCTATATCCATTCATTGTCATATTTTCCTTAAATAGAAGTGAAAAGTTCTCACTGTGTTTGTAATTTGAAACAAATTAAACAGCTTAACATAGCCCGTTAAAAGTGCCTCTTTTTTTTTTTTTTTTTTTTTCCCTCTTGGGACTTTCTGTGGCTCATCATCAACTTCTTTTCCTGCCATTTTTCGTCCGTACAAAGGTGAATCTCTCTCTCTCTCTTCTTTCATATTTTTAGTTTTTTTTTAAAAACAAATTCCACGCTGTTTGGGTGCAAAGAAACTGTGAGAAAATCAAGTCAATTGCATTTAAATTTTATGAAAATAATTACATTATATGTAAAAAAATTTATTTGTAACCATTAAAACTCGTTAAAAACTTAATATTTTACACTCACTGTAATTATATATGTAAAAGTTTCGGTTATTATGCGATAAAAATATTATTATTTACTTTAAGTTTTAGAAACTATTTATCAATTTAAGTTTTAAGGACAAAAATTGTTAACGAAATTCAAAAACTAATATGTTAAAATAAATGGTTCAAGTATCAAAATGTTATTGTATCCAAAATCTCGGGACTAAACATGTCAATTACCCTTTTGCGATTATTCTCAGTCTAGACACTCCTCCAAGCAAAAGCGAAGAAGATTCCTCACCCTTCCTCTATTTTGCACTATTTTTTTTTTCATTTTTATTTAGGATAAATTTTATAAAATCTCATTGTTTTTTGTCACTTGAGTTAATATACCCTTTTAACTTTAAAATATGTATACTGTGTCCTCTAAATTTTATCATTTGTGTTAAGATGTCCCATAAAGTTAACTCTATTAAGTTTTTTTTAACAAAAATACTAATAAATACCCTTGAATTTTATCACTTATGTCAATATGTCCCATAAACTTTAAAATATACATATTTTACCTTTGAATTATGATATGTCTCCAATTTTTTTATTTTCATCTTGATTCTAACAATTTTTTGAACAGAAATATTGATATAACTATTAATTTATTAATTATTAATGATATTTAAGGTTTATTGAATACCTCCTCCTCTAAAAATGTTAATTAAGCACCAATTCTCAAATAATTAGTTGATTAGAAACAATAAAAAGAGAAAAAGATGATGAGCAAATATGTATAATGTAATAAATTTTGTTAGTTTTTTTCTTAATATTTAACCTAGATAAAAGTGCTCGGCATAAAATATGTTTATGCTTTATACATATATAGCATTTATAAATCTAAATGCGTTCATGTCATTTATTTTATTATACATTTTAAAAAAATTAAAATAAATCTTAAAAAACCCATTAACTTAACAAACTTTAATAGTCATATCAATATTTTTGTTTAAAAAATTGATAAAATGAAGATGAAGAGAGAAAAATCAGAGACATATCATAATTCAGAGGGCAGAACAAATATATTTTAAAATTTAAGGGGCATATTGACACAAATGATAAAATTTATAGAGTATTTATAAGTATTTTTGTTAAAAAAATTTAACAAAATTAATCTTAAAAGACATATTGACATAAATAATAAAATTTAAATGACATAATATACATATTTTAAGGATTAAAGGTTATATTGATATAAGTCACAAAATTTAGGGGATTTTATAAAATTTGTCGTATTATTTATTAATATACCTGTCATTTTCGAACAGGCTTTATTTCCACTTTTTTATTTTTTCAATTTGACCTCATCAGTTTATACTGTTAAGGCCTAAAGAAAAGTTCTCAGAACTTCTGATTTCCTTCCTAATTTTGCCCCTAAAGCGTTTCTCCTTCTCCGCGAGGAGACGAGGATTAGATTTCCCAGAAACTGAAACCCTAGAAAGCCCTCACTGAAGCACAATGGAAGGTTTCGAAGAGTGGAAATCTCAGGCCGAACAATGGGCGAGTCAAGCTCTCCAATACATTCACCAGATTCCCCCAAATCAGCTCTACGCTGCTTCCGGAGTTCTTCTCTTCACGATCCTTTTCCTCTTCTTCGGTTCGTTATTATTCCCTCGCGCTTTTCCGCGATTCTAAATCTATGTGCATGCGTTAATTTCGATTCGAGATTTTGAATTTTGAATTTTGATTTGTTCGTTTGAATTTCATTTTCCCTCATTTTGTTCCTCGTCGCAGTTCGTTTGTTCAAGCGCACCAAGTCCAACACCATTGTGCTTACCGGGCTTAGTGGTGCTGGAAAGACCGTTCTTTTCTATCAGGTAAGCATTGTCGCTTTTTGATGATTTTTTTTTCTGGCTATTGATAATATACTGCTTTTGGGTTCTAATTCTATGGAATTTAATGTCATTGAGCGGTTCTTCTGCATTTAATTTACTTGTTAGATCTCTTGGGAATTGGTAATTGAGCTTGAATTGTAACCATTTTTTTTTACGTGGACATATGGGTGTTAATGTTATTCTATTGTTCTTGTGAGTGAAATTTTATAAATTGATGCTATTCAAGAAAGCTAATAGGTTTGCTTTGTGTAGTTAAATTCTTCAAAATGGTGTTATTATTCTATTCCTTAGTTGTTTTTGTTTCTTGTTTTTTTTTTTTTGGGTACAAAAAAATGATTAATTTCTATGTCACCTGCATTATGCTTCTGTTTGAAGCCCCAGCCTTAAGTTAGAGTTGTGAACAATGACCTAGTTATGCTTTGTTTATTTTTGGTCTAATTCTTACCACATGATTGCCATTTCCCTATGGGCAGCTGCGAGATGGCTCTTCGCATCAAGGAACTGTTACATCAATGGAGCCAAATGAGGGCACCTTTGTTTTGCATTCTGAGAAAACAAAGGTGATGTATTCAAAATATGATGTTTTCAAATATATACTTTCCCAGAGATTTGATTTTGTGGTAATAATGCATAGTTTAATATTTGCTTACTTTCTATATTTGAGATCATATCAGGTGCAAACATTCTTTCCCGTATTCTTAGGGCTGCTTTTTTTAGTATTATTTATTTAAAATAGATTTATCTCACTAAAAATCTTTTTACCTCCCTCTTTTGGATGTCCTAAACAGAATGGAAAGACAAAGCCTGTCCATCTAGTCGATGTTCCTGGGCATTCTCGTCTTCGACCTAAGCTAGATGAGTTTTTGCCTCAAGCAGCTGGTGTTATTTTTGTGGTGGATGCTTTAGAATTTTTACCAAACTGTCGTGCTGCTTCAGAGTAAGATATTTCTTTATTTTCTGCTTTGCCTGTGTTTTTCCCCCCCTTTGTCTGAGATGCAGTTGCAGATATATTTACTCTTTTTTTTTATATGCTATTTTGTTATCCTGTTAGAATGTGTGCAATCCTCATAGGTCTTTCATGTTTAGAAGTGCAAATTATTGTATGCAACTGGTTGCAAGAATTGAGATTTTGGTTTTTCAATGCACTATGCTATGTGTTCTCGTGCGAACACGCACTAATGTGTGACCTACGGCTATGTGGTTGACTGGTTTCTAACGTTTGATACATTATATGCAAAAGGTACCTTTATGACCTTCTAACCAAGGCAAGTGTTGTGAAGAAGAAGATTCCGGTGCTCATTCTGTGCAACAAGACAGACAAAGTGACAGCACATACCAAGGAGTTTATCCGAAAGCAAATGGAGAAAGAAATGTAAAACTTCAATTTCTTGTTACCTTGATTGTCTTGTCTGTTACCTGTTTACTTTAATTTCTGCACATTATTTCGTCCCAATAGGTGGGGTTTTGTCATTATTTTACTTCGTATATAGCGGTCATTTTCAATGACGAGTCTTCTATTTTGTTTTGATAAAATCAATCTTCTTCCATAGCTACTTTCATGAAGCTTATAATTATTGTGATTTGACATGCATAATACGTGTTTGTTCTATATGTACAGATATCCTGACACATTTATCTTTCATTATCCTACAGTGACAAACTACGGACGTCAAGAAGTGCAATATCCGATGCCGATATTGCAAATGAGTTTACACTTGGGGTACCCGGCGAAGCATTTTCATTCTCTCACTGCTATAACAATGTCACGGTCGCAGAAGCTTCGGGTTTGAATGGTGAAATTTCTCAGGTGGAGCAGTTCATTATGGAGCATGTCAGGCCCTAGTTAGGTTTTCTATAACATCCCCTGATATCGAAATGTTTAGGCTTTTAAGCACTTTGCTTGAAGACCATCTCCTGATCTTTGGAAGCAAAGAGCCACAGAAAGCGAGGGAAAGAATGTAAAATCGTAGGCAAGAAAAAACAAGAGAGAGATCTCAAGTAATGTTTTGGCGAGTGAGAGGTCCTTCATAGTCGAAACAATGCCAGAGAACTGCTTTGGATGATCTATTGCAATTTGAAAATCTTCAGGTGGCACAATTAAATTACATGGCGGCTGTTTCTATTTGAAGTTCTTGATGCTTTTCTGCTTATTTACTATTTGTGTTACTTTTTATTTCGTTCTTGTTATGGTTTCATGCACGTTGTGCTTTGATTTGGACAACGAGAACGAATCGAAAAGTTTCTAAACATGGACAAATAATGGCATGTGGCCGTTCAAACGAAAGGGTAAAAATAATAAGTGAGAAACGACTTGTGTTAATCATTTTGCTATCGATGAAAGCTAGAATGTGTTGAGTGGGATTTGAATTTTTGATCCCACGCCTTTTATAACAAGAATGTCGTTAGAAAAAGGGTAAAGCCAATAAGAGGAAACGACATGTGTTTAATCATTTTGCCAATTGCCATTTATAAAAACTAGCGTGTTGAGAGTGGGATTTAAACCCACGCCGTTTGTAACAATAATGTCGTTCAGACAAATAGGTAAAAATAATAACGAGAAACGATATGTGTTTAACCGATTTGCCATCGATAAAGTAAAAAAAGCGAAATGTGTTGAGAGGGGCTTTCGGACCAAAACCTTAATCTGGCGCCTTAGACCAACTCGGCCATCTCAACAGATGCAAGTACGCTAGAAAATTACTTGTGTAAAACAATGTGCCATCGCATTACATGTTAAACCAATTCTACAAGAAAAGTATATGTATTCACCACATAACTTTGCAATTTACGTACAAATATAACCGAGGAATATGTACCACTTTCCTTTTATATTTTCACCCCTAAAGCAAAAACTAAGATGTGTATTTATCTCCAAGATTTTAGTGAAGCAAGTATTGAACCCCTCAGAATAAAGAGGGTCGCATTGAGCTACTATTTTTATCCTCTATCCAGACCAGAAAAGGGAGGAAAAGTATGTTAGTTGTTCTTTCACATGAAAAATGGTGTAGCTATTGTGGTTACGGCCATGATGACACAAAGAACAGAATTTGGCGTCTCCTCCTTTACATCCTCACCTCATACTCTGATAAGACTCCGGGAACGATCTCGACATCAAGACGTTCTTAATCCTAATAATCAAAGCAAAGATGCCATAGCATGGTATATGCATCAGCCCTACTCCAATGTACCTGTGAAGTCCATCAAAACAAGATTCATAAATTGGCTCATTGTTATATTTGGTAGTAAAAGTTTCATTCCTAGTAGCTTGATCTGAATTTCTCAGAAGTTGTCTGTCTATGGAGAAAACAAACTACTAACAAGAACTTACCATAAGGGAGCGTATGGGGATGATAGGTCAAGGAATGGATAAGGCCACCTGCAGCAAGAATTGTGATTATTATGAAGCCATGGTTAAATCTGTTTGATAAAAGAGCATGGAATGGAAATTCAAATAATGGCTTTTACCACATCGAAACGCAAGCGTGGATTATCCACTGAAAGATCACAAATATTCCTGTCCATAGCACAAAGTATGCAGCCCGAAACAATGGAAACCGCTGCAAGGAGGAGATTGTTGCAAAATCACAATATCAGGAACTAGACGAAGAGAAACCTATTACTCAACCAGGATTTTACTCTTACCAAAGAATTCAATATCATGTCACCGAGCAGGAAAAACGCATTGAGTGAGTGCATACTGACCATCATCTGCAATTAAGATGTGAACAAGTTGGTCAGAGGAAATTAAGGTCTATTGAGTAATTAGCTGTGAAATTGATATCTTGTCTCAATACTAAAAGAATGATCAGTGTAACAAATGCTACGCCAATTGGACATAACATAGAATTGATCAACCCTTTCACAAGTAAAATCAGTTCTTCAAAACTCGAGTGACATTAAGAGAAAAATTCAGTCAGGAAGTGAAAAGCATTCGAACTTGATGTATGGTTTATGTAGGTGGATGCTTCAATACTTACAAAATTTAGTTTGTAATCTTTAGAAGTCAAAAATGGATAAAGAATGAGCCAAAACATGCAGTCAGTGAGCGCCACGGCACCAGCACACACCTGTAGATAGGGAAAAGGGGGAAAAAAAAGAAAAATGAAAATGAAGATTTAGTTCTCTAAAATACTGATATGAAAGCACATACTAATACATCAGAAGAGCTTTAGATACAGTTGGCAGAAAAATTGTTGCAAGTCATAGATCTCAAGTAAAGAAATGAGAAAAAGAAATAGAGGCTGTTAACAAAAGAAAAATCCACCTGAAAAGTAATTTGGAAGATGTAAGTCCAGACACCTGCAGTTTGGTAAGCATGATGCTCTTCATGAGAGTATAAATTTTTTGGCAAATTTGACGTTTCTGAAGTCTCCCCAAGGCTAGGAGCTACATAAGTGCCTCGCTCTGCGTCCAATCCGATATTTCCATCCTCACCTATTCTACTCTGATATTTGCGACATCCATAAATGGAAAGTGAAGATCCAAGCTGCAAAAATGAAACCAAATCTTAAGCAACTTAAGAACAATGACAACCAAGAACACGAAAACTTTAGGAACTGCCCTGATTAACAGCTCACTTAAACGACCAAAAAAATATGAGGCCCAGTTGTCCCTAAGTTTTCCCTCATGAACTGAACAGTAAATATGTCCCATTTAACATCTTCAATAGAATGATCTAATCGGTAATCAAACAGAAGCTTAAGCAGTCCAGAAACAAACGAAGGATATTTTCAACTTTCATACCGCAAAATATACAGTGACCAAAGCAAATGTCCACCTGTACAGAACAGTAGAAGGAAAAAGAATATTATCAGTAAAATAGCAGGAATTTTGTTTGGGTGATCAAATTGAAAGTCAGATATTTTCTCATTCTAACTTGCAACTATGTTATCTCCGGTCTTTCCCCCATTATTCTTTGGATCCAAAAGAACATCTATACTAAATGCAAGGATGCTCAAAAAGTTGAGTATTGTTTTACGTTCAGGGAAGATTTTAGAACTTCACAAGTTGCTCCAGGTTAATAAACTGAAGTTTGTCAGTAGCATCATAGACTCAGCTCTATGCATTAAAATGCGATATAAGTTAACTGAATCAAACTTCTAACTAGAGTAGACAATTCACCAGCCTCTCCTATTCTCTTACAATAAGGTTTTTACATTGTTCAAAAAGGATCGGAATAAGGCCAGGAGGCTTACTGAGTATAAAAGTAGAAAATGGCAGCTCCATCAAGAACAAGATTGGCGAAGAGCAACGAAAAGAGCGCAATGAAAGCAACAATCCTGTAAGTGAGCAGCCAAGCGGGATGTATTCCCTTGAGACATGTCGTCCAGGCTTCATCCTCATGCAGATAACCTGCTGTTTCTACCTGTTCCTCTCTCCTCTCTGACCGCGAGCTTTTGAGGCCTTCATATTTCCAAATTAAGTAAGATGCAACCACCATAGTGGTAAAGATCCACAGAGCACAGAGGAAGAACCTCCAGTTCAGCCAATAACTCGGTGCCGTGGTGTCGGCCGTCATGACTGGCTGCCAAGAATGCTCAGGTGATCCTGTTAAGAAACCCATCACTTTATTGAACTGACTCTCCAAATTATGTTCTCTATATAGATCTATATCTCCTTTGAAAGGAAAATAGAACTCCACAAGAAAAACGAGTAAAACTAATTATCAAAACCCAGATAGAGTTTTGATAAACTTAGACAAATTATCACAACCAAAAGTCAAAATCTCCATTTAACCTTTTATAATGGAACAGTTTAAGAGGAAAAATACATAATTTGTTCAAAGAAAAATGAATTGATGACACTAAACACTTGAATTGTCAAAAACTACATAAATTCAAATGATGTGCAAACAACCAACAGAGTTGGAAAGCATAATAAGGAATCTCAAAAACCCAAAAACGACAATCGTGTGGACACTAAAGTGATTAAAAATTTTGACATTTGAATTATTTGGGTTATAAAAATAGATTGAGCACGCAATGAACAAATACCATATCAAAGGACCGAAAAGGTTTTTCCTGAATATATGCAATAAAACAAAAGATTCGTTGCTTTTATTCGGGTTTTAAGTTTTAATCCAGAAAAGGCGGCGATCACATTGAAACGATGATACAAACGTTGACACGGTTCCAAAGAAAAAGAAACTTACAGAAATGCAAAGGATGCTTTGCTTCTTGCCTTACTCTTCCAGTAATCTCCTCTCCGACAAGAGAAGAGAGAGAGTTACCATTTGTGGGATTGAAGAAGATTCGCAAGAGAAGACAAATAAACTTTTCCCGTCGAATTATTTTTGGTGAACTTTTTTTCATTTATTTTTAAATATGAGTTTACAGGTAGTTTTGTGTTCGCAATCGCATTGGCTCTAGAGAGAGCTAGCATAGCCACGTAAATTAATCCAGGTGGATGGAAGAAAAAGCAACGTTTTTTTTTTCAGTAAATTGTATTATTGCACCTCAAATTATTTATTTTTTACATAATGCATCTCATATTTTTAATTTTAATAAACTGCGCTCTAAACTTTAAATCAGTTACAATTTAAGTTTAATAGATAACGAATGCAATCAAATTGAGGTTTAAAACAAGTAATTCGCACATAAAATGTAAAGATGATCTATTTTTAAACCATATCACGTGTAAATCTCGTATCTTGAATTATCAATTTGATAAGAAAAGTAGCTAGTGGACTTTAATTGCAATTGATTTTAAAACTTAACATGTAATTTACTAAAATTAAAAACTCAAGACCTATTATGTAAAAATTGAATAGTTTAAGGTGCAACAATGCCATTTACTCTTTTTTTTTTTAATGAAAGACGTTTCTTTTTTATTTTTATTTTTTTTAATCTGAACGTTTCTTTTTGGTTTTTTTGTGTTAGTTGTTCGTTTGCTTGTGTTTTTAATTCTTTGGGAATGTGATATAAGCCAATGCCTTGTCGTGCAATTTTTTTTTCAAGGAATATTGTCTTTTTAGATATTTTAGCTAAAGATTGGGGGCAAATATTTTATAGGCAAGTCTTGGAGTGTAAAACTACTAAAATAAATGGTTTTTTTTATTTGTCATTTTTTATATCCTACCATGTATCTTTTTTGATGTATCATAGTTGGAACCTAATATTTTGAATTTATATTTACTGGTAATTCTTATACTTTCTTTTAGACAATATAGTTATCTTTAACCATGAAAAGGCATGAATGCATTTTCCTTCTCAATCTTCAAAGTTAGTAATTTCTCGAAAGATTTACAATTTGGTTATTTCTCTTAAAAAAAATTGCATTATTCACTGCTCACAGTTTACATAAAAATTTCAATCAAGGCACTAATATGTGGGCCTTTTTAGAACAAAAACTAACGGACGTGTTTAAAACTCGTTTCAAAATGATTTTATTTTTTGTATGAAAATAAAAATGAAAACGTTTTTAATCTCAGACATAAATTACTTTTAAAAATACGTTTAGTAGTTTTATCAAGAGATTATTTTCAACGTAAAAAAACCCATTAATGTTTCTCTTTCTCTCTCTCTGCTCGAGAGAGGAGAAAACGAAAACAAAAAATGAAAAACGACTAAAAATCATTTTTCATTTCTCTCTTATTTTACACTAAATTAAAAAATCATTTTCATTTCCGTTTTTTTTTTATTGTTTCAAACGCCGTTTTGAAAATGTTTTTATTTTTTCTTTCTCAAAAAACGTGAAAAATAAAAATGGGATCAATTCCAAAACGGCATTTCATGTACAAATCTTTCCTTTGTTTTGTTTTGTTTTGTTTTTTTGTTTTTTTTTTTTTGTGGCTGAACCGGGAAGTCGAACCGTCAGAACGAGTTCTGTTTGAGTCAGCTATTAATCGTCTCCATTCCCATCTCTGTAAGGCCAAAAAACACAACTAAAGAGAACAAATGTGAGTTCACATGAAAGAAAGTATGGCTTTTGTGGGAATGGCCCTCCTGCTCACACAAAGCACTGAATTTGGAGTGGTACTCTAATAAGATTCCGGGACCGATCTTGATAACAAAACGTTCTTAATCCTACTAATGAGAGCAAAACTTCCATAGCACGGAATGTGCATCGCTGCCACTCCAATGTACCTGTAAAATCCGCAAAGAGGAGACACATGAGTGGGATAATCACTTTGTTTAGTAGTAGAAGTTTCATTTCTAGTAACTTTTGGGGACCTGAATTTTCTCACAAACCGTCGTTACTTGTTTATCTATGGCTAAAACAGATTAATAACAACTAAAAAGAACATACCATAAAGGAGCATATGAGGATGATAAGTCAAGGAATGAATAGGGCCACCTGTAACAAGAAGTGACATTTTTTTTTAAGAAGCCATTGTTAAATCTCTTTAAAAAAAAAGCATGACATAGAAGTTTATATGGTTTTTACCTCATCGAAACACAAGCATGGATGATCCATTGAATGATCACGAATATTGCTGTCCACAACATGAAGTATGCAAACCGAAACAACGGAAACCGCTGCAAGGAGGAGATAACTGCAAAATCACATAATAGGGAACTACGGAGGAAGAGTATATAACACCAACAAGGAATTTACTCTTACCAAGCAATTCAATATTGTGTCACCGAGTAGGAAAAAAACATTCATTGAGTGCATGCTCACAGTCAGCTACAGTTAAAATGTGAACAAGTTGGTCAGATTAAATTAAGGTTTCTGTAAGTAATTAATTTGCTGCGAAACTAATATACAATTTCTCAACACTTTCCATGACATTTACGCTTAAGTAAAATCAGTTCTTAAGTGAAATGAAGCAAAACTAAGTCAGAAAGCGAAAGGTGCAAGTAGTTCCACTCTCGTCTCAATGGTTACTCTAATACTTACAAAATCGAGTCTGTAATCTTTGGATGTTAAAAATGGATAAATAATGAACCAAAATACGCAGTCAGTGAGCACCACAGCACCAGCAGAGACCTGAAGAAGAAGAAGAAGAAGAAGAAGAAAAAAGATCTAGAAGTTCTCCGGAACAATTGGAAAAAGTGGAAAGAAAGAGAGAGAGAGCAACTCAAATAGAGGCTTTGCTTTTTTCCATTATCCGTTTTGCACATCCCAGAAAGTCTTTTTAAGTTAAAATAACAGGTAAAGATATGAGAAAAAAAATCCAGTCTACTTGATACTACAAGAAAGGAATAAAGGAAGTAGATGAGTCAAAAAGTCCACGAGAAAGGTATCAAAAGAAAAATTTACCTGGAAAACAATTTGGAAGATCTTGATCCATACACCTGAAGTTTTCCAAGTATGATGCTCTTCATGAGCATCCCAATTTTTTGGCAAATTCGATGTCTCTGAACTCTCCTCAAGGATATGAGCTCCGCAAGTTCCTTGCTCTGCGTCCAATCTGATTTTTGCATCACTACTAAATCTACTGTGATATATATGACAGCCATAAATGGAAAAGAAAGATCCAAGCTGCAAAATGAAATCAAAGCATAAGCAACTAAAGAACAATGACACTCGAGAACATTGAAAGATGAGATTTGACAGTCAATTGTCTCTAATGTTCCCCCATGAGCGAATAGCAAATTGTCCTATTTAACATCTTGGATAATTTGAATTCATCAGCGGAACTTAATGACAGCTTATTCATTCCAGTTGACAGACAAAATGATCACTTCAATTCAAAATTCTATTTAATCTACTGAGAGGAAGATCCTTCAAATGAAGATCATACCGCAAAATAGACTGTGACCAAAGCAAAGGTCCACCTGTTCAGCAGAGTAGAAAATAAAAATAAGAAAACAAAAGTATCAGTAAAATATATATTTTTCCTTGTGGATCAAACTTGAATAAAATGAGCTCGTTACTGCTTGTCTTTAACAGTCAAGCATATTAATATTATCTCTGGTGTTTCCCACCCTAGGAAGGTAAACCGTAAAGGTGAACGTTATATAACTTTCCAGGAAGATTTTAGAAATGCATAGATTGCACCAGTATAATAAACTTGGTGATGATCAATTTCTAGCATGGTCAGACTCTATTGCTTTCCGAGGCCACATAACATCAGGCGGTGTGTTTAGTAAAAGTGCATAAAAGTATTTTACAATGCTTAACCAGTAGACACCAAGGCACTTTTAAAGTTATTTTGAAAAGTTAGATTTTTAACTCTGAACTTTTGCTTTTAGCTTTGCTATAAAAGTAATATTTCTTTACGAAGCGCATCAATTCCAAACACATTGCTCATTCATTTGGTTTATGAGTTTGAACAGAATGTTTGAAAAGAAATTCATATTTGTTTAAATTTTTGTGAGAAAAAAACTATAGCAATAAAAGGGTTTGAACCAAAAGTTTTTAGTTCAAAACCTATGAAACAAAGGCTTAAGTCTCAACTACACAGATTGAAAAGCATCATAACATGAACCAGGTAGTGTGTTTAATAAAATTGCATGAAGGTATGGTACTTTGCATAAACACCGGTGCCTTTTTTTTCATACACAATACACGATCGAACTCGGACCCTCCAAAACCAAGCCCCATTCTACCTTCCCTACCCATGTAGTTTGATCTAGTGGTCATTGGTTGATTATGCTCTCTCACAATAAATTTGAATATAAAAAGTTCCTGCCAATGGGTTCTCTCAAAAAATTTGAATTCAGAATCAAAATCACTGACTTGAACCCATGAATCAGACATGCCTTTAACTTTTTGCTTCAACAATCCCAAACCAAGCCTTAGTTATACAATTTGAAAAGCATCATAAGGCAAATGATACATCTCCCTAAATGGGCACCCAATTAAAGAACACAACTCACCAGCCTCACCAAATATCTTTACAACAAGATTCTTACACAGTTCTTAAAGGATCAAAACAAGGGCATGAGACTTACTGGGTATAAAAGAAGAAGATGTCACCTCCATCCACAACAACATTGGCAATGAGCACTGACAAAAGGGCACCGAAAGCGATGATTCTGTAAGCAAGCAGCCAAGCAGGATGTTTTATTCCCTCCAGACATGTCTTCCAGGCTTCATCATTCTCGTGCCCAGAACTTGCTGATTGCTCTTCTCTCCTCACAGGTCTTGAACTCTTGAAAGGCAGAACTTCATATTTCCATATCAAGAAAGCTGAGACTACCATAGTGGTGAAGATCCATATAGCACAGAAGAAAAACCTCCAGTTCAACCAGTAACTTGGGGCTGTTGTGTCAGCAGCCATGGATGGCTGCCAACTATGGTCTGCAGATTAGTCAAGATTTAAGAAGAAACCCAAAAACACCATATTTTTAGCCCAAAAACACACACATAAAGAGTCGAATTCATAGCTAACAAACCGAATTGGCGGGATTCGAACTCTAAACCTTAATGTCGAAGTTAAGGGGTTAGGGACCAAAAAGAGTAACCCTTTGAGAAAGCGAAAGGCGTACAAAATGAAAGGAATTCAAAATATAATCAGAAGATTAGAATCCAAATCCAATGATGACCATCTTGAAGCCAATAAACAAGAAAAGGAAAAATTGGGAGTGGAATTATTTTGTATAGGAAATTAAAATAAAATAAAATAAATCCAGGCGAGGAACAAACACTGTAGAAAGGGCCGAGAAAGGTTGGTCTGAGTACATGCAATGAAAAGCAAAGAAAGAAAACGCACTTTGACCTTTCGGTTTCGAACCAAAAAGGCCGTGATATGATCAGACTGAAACGAGAATATATATATATATATATATATATGTATGTATGTATGTAAAATAAAAAAGAATAGGGAAGCTGGGAATTGTGATACTTACGCCTCGGTCCCTATGTTTTGAAATTCGGCTTTTTATTCCTGATATCTGAGTTGTGGAAGAAGATTAGTGGAGAAGACAAATATATAGCTTACCAATAAACTGGTAAACAAAGACCAAGCCACGCTGAAAATTGTACAACTAATCATTTCCGTACACATTATTGCAAATAGGATGAGTCGCAGCAAATTTGGTTGAAAGATTTGACGATATTTTCAGCTTTTCATTGATGACTGAGGAGGATACTTTCTGAATTTACCATAAATAACCACTATTTTATGGATCCTTATTTTATAGCACGATAACCAAAGTTTTTACATAAAGAGCAATATTTATGCAAAACGTTATAGTAGTTAGACTTTTTTAATTTTATTTATTTGAATTTTCAGTTTTAAATTTTTATAGTTAAATTTTTTTTAAAAATATTACATTTAATTTTTTTATTATAAGTAAAAATTTTAAAAAATATCATATCTTAACTTAAATTAAAATTTTAAATTCACGAAGCGAACGAGATCTTAATTAATTTTTTAAAACATGATTACCTCTATGAAACTTTGGCAATCTTTATTCAATTTGAACATCAATACTTAAAAAGTTCCAAAAATAATGTCAAAATTAAAAACTCGATAATCAAAGTTCACAATGCTTATAATTCAATAACTAACGGTGTAAATAATCATTTTTTAATAATATTTTAGAATATTCATTTGTCTTATTTTGATTCTCAACTTTCTTTCTTAGAGTTCTAACTATTTTAATATTGAGTTGGTAACTTTTCATCTCTAAAAAGACTATCTAATTTTTTTTTTTTTAAATACTATAATTACATTAGCCTTGGCATGGAGTGTGGAATAACTCTACAAAATAAAAATTAAACACATAAAAGATTTGTGATCCATTTGGTAAATGTATTTAAACTATGATTATGAGTGTTTTCTTTCAAAAAGAACTTGCATTTAAAAATTTCCCAAAATCCTGCAATGAATTAGTATTACTGACTTAAATGTGTGAACTAAGCGGGCCATTAATCTGTCAATACCAACCTGATTTTGTCACTTTTTTTTCAGCGCTGAAACAATAATGGATTTACATTTTCAAACGTTAAAGCACACACTTCACTAACCCAAAAGGATGCCATTGTTGCATGTCAATCTTGGCTGAACTTTTTGGCAATTACATCAACGGGTAATGAACCCAAAGGAAGTGAGGAGTCACTATCATAATAGACATCATCGTTTTCTTCATCATAATCATCAATAAAATCATCATTATCATCGTCACTTTGAGAAAGGTATTCAGATTCTTCCATTGAGCTGCTAGTACCGTCTTCACCTGACACGATCAAAGCTGGATAGGAGTGCTCTGTGGCCTGTGAAATGCCCTCAAATTCCTCCACTTTCATCAAAAGTGCATCAGGGCCAAGATTAATTTCATCCAACAATATAGCTTTGTTTGATTCAAGTGCACGCTTCCACAGGGACAGCATTTTGGGGCTTGTTCTCACTGTTTGGGTGTCTGGATCGCCACTATCATCATTATCCTTGCCTGAAAATAGATCATGAAAATATCAAGTAAGAGCCACAGCTTAATGGAATCAGTCAAGCGGTACAACAAGTAGCTAATTTAATGTACTTCCTGCAGAATTCAAATTCTAGGATAGCTTCTTTAACTTTTCAAAAAAGAAGGTTGGTATTTAACCTGCTTTTCGGATGTTATCTTGAAAGAACTATGCATTTCTTGCAGGTGGGTTTTCTAATCGAGTTCATCTACTGGACTCCGGTGCAAGATATTTTAAGGGAATGAGAAGATTGTATTGTTCATAAAAATTAATATGCTGTTATGCCCATTCTTAATCAAGAGCTCTACCAATCATTTATAAGAAGGCTAAGGTGTGTCATATATGAGTTCAGAAACAGTCATAAAAGCCACCTCTTCAATTTTTAATTGTTATGATGTATGGTTTTCTACAATTTCTAGGCATTAGTCTGACTGCCCTCTACTGCATACCTGATCTATGCAAATCAGACGTTACAACGTCATTCCCTAGAATTGAAGGTATAGAAACATCTCGGTACATTGATTTCCAATCGGATCCTCTCCACATCAATATCTGTTCATCATCAAAGGATAGCAGCACGCAGGGAACCAACTCCTTGAAATGGATAAAGAAATGTTGAAAAATAATTCAGGTAATGCTAATTAATGGATATAAACACCAACAGATGACAATAAGTGACTACTTGATTTAGGAAAAAAAAAAAAAGAAAAAGGTAACTAGTTTGTACTTTAAGGTCCCGTTCTTTTCGCTGATTTGAGTTTAGAATTCGAGTTTTGTTATAGTAAAAAGCTCTCAGAAATAGTCACATCTAGCTTTTTTGCTACAGTAAAAAGCTCTCACACAATATTGCATCTCAACTCGAATTAGCGAACCGAACGGACCCTAAGTTTGTGTTGTACACTAACGCTTCAATGGTTGTCCGAAACTTGATACCTTTTGACAGATCCCTTTAAATGTCATACTGCTATGAGTTCTTATGCCCCGTTCATTTTACCAATTCGAGTTTAGAATTTGAATTTTGCTACAGTAAAAAGCTCTCAAAAACAGTCACATCTAATTTTTTCACTACAGTAAAAAGCTCTCAAATAAAAACACATCTTAACTCGAATTAAAAACTCGAATTAGCGAACTAAACGGGCCCTATGGTTACAAACCTTTAATAATGCGTTGATCTAAATTCTAAACTTGAATAGTTGGGGAACAACAAATGATTACAGACCTTAAGCTTGGCACCTAACTTCTTGTAGTCACTTGCATGCATCCCCTTGCAGTCAATCTTCACTAAGGGACTTCCTTCAAAAGCATGTCTAACATCTTTCACCAGGGAGATGTAGACTCCATTTTTGGCTGTAGTAAAACAAACGAACATCAAATTCTCAGTGAATAGGTAGTGTTTGGGAGCAAGAAAACATGAGCAAACATTGGGGGTTAGATTGTAGAAAGGTGAACCCAGATCATCCTTAAATAGGAAACACCACTGGTCTTGCTGCGCAAATTCTGCCATTCTTCTGGAACAACAACAGGCATGCTATCTCATGATTAAAAAAGATGCTTGCCATCCTATTGGCCGGTTACCATAAACAAGATTAAACAAAGCACAACATAGCCATAAATACTGAACTCTACAACAAGATCATGGACGCATGATAATATGAGCAGAGGTGCAATTTACCTAATTTACAGATTGGCAAAAGCTTTTTTCCCTTCATCCGTAACTCATTGGCTTCATCTTTTGTCAATCCACCAGGAGCCTCTTGGATAAGTTTGGGGTAGACCGGTGCAGCTGGTTTCCACAGCATCACGGGGTACTGTGGACGATTAGCATAGTTGTAATTCCTGCCACGGAATAGATAAACTGCACCTCCAGCTCGATTAATGATTTTTCCACCAGTTTTGTTCTGTCATCACAAACCTCACTTTCAATGATAAATCAATCAAGTGGATGTAAATGCCTACAGAAAATTGCTAAAATTCGCTAAAAACCAGAAAGCTAAAAAATTCATACCTCAATATGTTGGCAAACATTATCCATATCCACAGTGGGAACACCTTTGCAACGGATTTTACACACAGGCGTCCGCTTCCAATGCGAATGTATTAGCTCCAACATGTTATGCGTTAAACCATCCCTTCCTATTCCAGACAATAAAGCAACCCGATGAATTAACCATATATAAGCAACGATTCATTCAAAATTTTGTCTCCAAATATCGATTTACATAGCTTATAGTCCCAAAGTTCTGCCTTTGATGATCAATTTTCTTGTTCATGAAAAAACTTTTCTCTGTATTGTTTATAATGTCCATGTCACGCCACTTCAAAAAATGGTTCTGTTCGGCAATGGAATCGTGGAAATTTGGATTTTCTTTCTTTGGATCCCTAAAGGTGCTTATGATATTTTGGCTCCAAAAGCTACTTTTGAGGATGTTTAAATAATGAGTTTTGATCCTCCATTAAGAATATAATTTAGTTAGTAAATAACAGAAATACCATTAAAATCTCTCAAAAATATATAATTTCTTAGGCTGAAGAAGAACTTCTCTACTTCTGCAGTCTAAAAGCATAAATAATCATTCTAACACTTCGTAATTAATGATTAATGATTCAAAACTAATGTAAATGTTCATGAACCACCCTAAACACAAAAACTGATTCAACTTGCAAAGAGCCAGAAGTGAGTAAATTAAACAAACACGAAGAAGGCATACCGAGATTAACCTGGCGATTAGACGACAAATGAGGCTTAATAAGCATCTTAATCTCCCATTTCTTCAGAGGCTCTCCGAGAATCTCTTCCTTCGTCTTCCTCACCTTCGGATACTTCCCGAACGGGAACGGCCCCGGCATCTCCATCTGCTTCACTCCCTCCGTCCCCCGCGGCGGCGGATTGAACGAATCGAGGAGCGGAATCTTCCGATTCCTCTTCTTCTCCTTCGCGCTCTTCAGCGGAGCCTTCCCGGTCCACGGCCTCGGCATCGTCGGCGGCGCGAACGGCAAGAACGCCGGCTCGCGAATGGCCAAGGGCTTCACCTTGGGGGTCTCGGAGTAGCTGTACTGGAACTCGAACGGCGCGCCGGGGAGGAGATAGGAGACGCCGGAATCGCCAATGACGACGGAGCGTCCGTCGTCCGACGCGATGACGCCGTCCCTGACGGGCTTGTAGTAGTTGGAGCGGCGGTGGACGGACTTGAGGGCCGGATTGGGCGGTGGTTTTGAGGAATTTTGTGGTACATTTTGGGGTGGTTTTCTGCGTTGGGATTTGAAAGAAGGTGGGTATTTGGGGATTGGGATCGGAGGTGAAGGAGACGATGAGGTTGATGGAGGTTGGTCGTTTGGGGGCGGTGTTGAAGGGAGGGAGGAGAAGAGGTTTAG